TGTTTAGCCTTGTTTTCCTACCTTGGCTTGTTTTTTGCAGTTTGCGTCTACATATTCCCATCGTGATTATAACGGTGCTCACGTCCTTTCGAGGGCAGCTGTGCATGACATAGAAAATAGTATATATTTTTCTGACTACTATAACAGCTCAACCACACAGCTTCCAGAAATTAGTAATCTCCCTGCAGCGGCACGACGGACGCATATAGAGCGTAGGTATCAATAATCAAAGTACTCCGTAATGATGACCAATAAAGGGGGCTGGTTGCCCCTTTGTAGTCGCAAGGTTGGTCAAAGCTGTAGTTCAAATAGTCTAAAAGTATGTGCCAATATAAAGAGTTTGTTAACCTAGTTATCGGCCTTATCGGCGTGACACGCCAAACGCACGCTGCGTTTTCCAACCACCAGCCATGTTTCTATAGAATGACTCTTCTTCCTATCCTTATCTTTATTCATTCTTGTTATTTTTTCTTTTTGGATTGTTCATTTAGACCTCACATGGCTATTTAGTGTGAGAAGTGTCCTGCTTTTTTCCCTAGAGGAAGGACGGTCATCCTGCTCTTCCGCTCTTTACGTCAAGTCCGACTTCGACCTTCAAACGCACAACCAAGATCCAAACGGCAAGAAACGTGAAGGAGTAAGAGACCGAAGGGAGATAGTTGCTATTGCATAGGAAGAATCGGATCTATCCTGAACTTGACGCGTTTAGGGGAGGTTTTCAGCTTTTCCGGGTGCCCATGACGGCCGGCAGGTCGACCGGGGTGAAAACATGGCGGAGTTAATGAATACGCTCGAGTTGGTCCCATTGACTTTTGATTTTTCAGTTATATGCGATACCTATACTGTCGAGTAACATGTATTGGCTAACATTGACCTCTTATCTCGGATTAGGGAGCTGAAGAGCCTGCCTGAAGAGCTTCACCTTCTGTGCCCTCGTAAAAATGACAATGATATGGAGCAGTACAACAGATACACCGAGAACGAAAATAAACCAGGTGAAGCCGGTGCTCAGACGAACCCTGAGATACTTGAGAGAATATCAGAGGCTACGGTGCGTCGAGAGAAATTCCTCTCATGCATACAACTACTGGCTTTTAGTGGCGAAGAGGTTGAAGCACAGCAGCAATGGATATGGAGGCGCCTCAAGGAGACATTAGAAAGATGCGATATTTGCATCAAAGAGTACTACAGGGGTAAAATATGGCTGATTGAGACTTTGGGTGAAAGTTACGATGAATCTGAAGTGGAAAAATTCAGTAAAATGCTGGATGATTGGGATATAGCCAGAGTCGGGAAAAATTTGGATAAAGCTGCCAGTATGCTCGCAAGTATCTCCCCTGGGCAGCGTAAGATAAGCGCCCTCGATCGAGCCTCTATGCTCTCCATTTTTGAAGCTTTAAGCTCTACCCCGGTCCTAGGAAACGATACGTTTCTAAGAGAGCACTTCGATGGGCCGTTTACGATGGTACAAAGCTCGCGCACTCTAAAGATCACAGAATATGTACCTGCCGCTACGCAGTTTCTTTTCGACAAAAACAAGCATAGAAACGATTGGGCTGTGTTTACTTGGTCAAAGCTAGCCAGACCGCCGACAACTACGGAATTTGACTGTGCAATAAAGGAGCCTTTACTTGCAGCTTTACGCCGGGCATCCAGTCCTCCATTTGATCCAGACTTTGTTGATTCGCTATGGCGTGGAGTCACTATCATAATTAAGGGACTGAACAAGGACCAAATCACCCACCACCTTCGTGGGCTTGAACTCGATCCCTGCCGATTATCTGTTGACCACCTAGGCATTCAAGCTCCAGCTTTACGTTCAGTCATCAACACGATACATGCTCTCCTGAAGAAATCTCCAAATGACTTTTGGGATGCCATGCAAACTATTTCACCACAGGCCATTATTGAGCAGATTTTTTACAATCCCCAATACGAATTGTTTCTAACGGCTACTGATAATAATGACTCCTTGGCTGAATCTCCCCTGAGGGACATGTTGTCATGGATAGATCCCTTTATCATGTCCCTCAAGAATACCCACCAGCCACAAGCATGTCGGTTTTTAGTTCACCAGCTTCTCAACCGCCTTCAGGAGCCTCGGTTTCCTACCATTGTCAAGTACCATTGCTTTCGAAGTGGACTCATGGTTCTTTATCGTACCTTGCGTAGCTTCACAGATAATGAAGACTCGAGAGGTTCTGTGGCTACCATCGTTCTATCCGAAATGATGGAAGTTATAAGTGATAATATCAAACATTTCCTTAACCCTCCACGGTTCGACGTTGATGGGAGTGAGGCGGAGATTTCTATTCTCTGTATGGATGTGGTCCGAAACACATTGGCACTGGAATGCCAGTCTCTAAAATCAGACTATGAAACCATCCTCAGGGATAATACTCTACAACATGGCGTTAGCACATATACAGCGCCTATATGGGATGCTGTAGTCCAACATCTTGACGAAAAGAATTTAGCCCTCTCCTCTGCAGCTCTGAGAGGTATCTTACCTCTCGTAGGACTTGAGAAATTCCAGACGCGGGGAGAAAACACGAAAGAAAAGACGCATTTTAATGTCATTTATGGCCACCTTACTCATCTCGCATGCCAGATCCTTGAGAGATTGTCTGATTTCAGACCTGAACATCTGGACGAATTATTCAAAGCTCAAGAGACCAACGGTTCTTTGATTTCTGCATTATTCTCTGCCGACTTAAATACGTATCAGGCGGCTGTCGATCTAATAAAAGCAGTCAGCGGCCAACTAGGGCGCAAGGAGGCAATTTCTCACCTACTACAGTCGTTCTGTGCATCCACGATGTTTGGGTTCAGCTGGTCTTTTCGGCGCATTTCCAACATGAAAACATTCTCCTCGGCTCCTAGAATGCTTAAAACTGGCACTGATATCATCGAGGTCCTGTGTGATTCTCAAACTGGAATACTGAGGACTCGAAAACTTAATGACCCAAAAGAAGTATACTTCTTGCAGAGGCTTTGGGAGTACCAGTGGTTGGCACTTTCTACAATATTTAGTCAGACCGAAAAATGGCATAGAATGGGCGTTGACAGGTCAATCATGCTGGAGTTCTGTCGAGACAGTATCCAGTTTGCTGAGCTTCTGTTCGACCAATTTCCAATATTTGCCACGGCCGTTGGAGAAGCCGACCCAGCACAAGCTAATTCAGCAAAGAGTAACCTCCTTCGATACCCAACTACCACAATGAATGCCATGGTAAAATGGTTGCGACTAAAGGATGAGTATCTTGCGACTACGCTGGTTGGGATTGTTTCAAAGGTGCTTCGCCGTCTTGGGGATCTAGATGCAACAGTTCAGGAGGAGGCCTTGGACGTTATCAAAGATGTTGCTTTGACTGCCAAAATCAAGACAATTTTGACGGACAGTGAAAAAGCCGAGCTAGTAAGGTCTATGGAGGCCTATTATAAGAAACCCCTGATCACCCCTATTCCTGCTCCACCTCCCAAAAAGAAACAAAGTTCGATTACTGCTTTTGCTAAACCTGTGGATCCCAAAACAATTGTCAAATCCGAATCTAAACCGACTGAGGAAGAGGAACATGAGAGTGAGATTGACATTCCAGATGATGTTTTAATAGAACTATCTGGTTCGATTGATCTTCACAAGGCTAGAATAGCCTCTCAGAAGAAACCTATTCCCCGCCCTACCGCACCTTCTAAACCTCTTCCACCCGTGGTACCATTAGCGAAACCGGTTCACAATGTCCTCTCATTCCGTGAAAAACGCGAGAGGGAAAAGGAGGCCAAAAAGAAACGTGATATGATAGAGCTCGCCAAGGTAAAGAAGAACTTGCCTTTACGTGGTATGAGTGAGCAGACAGCATCACAAGGCTCCGGCCTCAGCGGTCTTAATATAGGAGTCGTTGAGCATAAACCTGCAGACAGTATGATGGTTTCTTCCGACTCGGATTCAGACTCAGACAGTGATGATAACGGAGACGAAGATATGGTTGGGAAGCGGGTGTCTTCAAAACCAGATGCTGTGAGAGCTTATGAGGAAAGCCGAAAGAAACTCCTACAACGGGTGCCTGTTAAGAAGGCAAAGATCATCCGCTCTGCCAAGGACATGCGAGCGCGGCTTGCCCCAGACTTATCGTCTCTTCATAAGACATTATTAAGTTGGGATTTCTTTGCAACGACTGTTCTTCCTCCCAACTGTGGCCGAACTGACTACACATTGGTTTCCAACGTTTTTGCAAATGCACTGGAGTATCAAAAGACTTTCGAGCCATTACTGATACTTGAAGCCTGGCAAGGCTTCCAAACTGCCAGAGAGGATGCAACATTTAAAGAGTTCGAAATTAAAGTTGCAAATCGTCTTTCAGTTGACTCATTTGTGGAAGTTAGCACAATTATGGAGCCTCAACAGGTCAAAGACTTAGGCCTAGGGGAAGCTGATTTGGTTCTGTTATCCCGCTCAAACAAGCCTGCCACTGATTCGAGTGCACCTCATTGTCTAGGTAGAATATCCGGAATCAAGAAGAAGAAAGGGACAGTAGAGGTATCCTATCGCATTAATCCCAGTGGCCCAATGGCTAGCGGCATTGGACCCGGAGGTGGGCTGTTTGGTGTAAAGATCACCTCCCTTACCCCCCTTGAACGCGAATACGGAGCGCTCATGGCTCTCCAATATTATGACCTGAGTGAGGAGATCATAAGAGCAAAGCCATCTCCAATACTGAATTATGGCCCAGAGAGCTTGAAAACCATACTGGCCACATATGACCTCAATCCGGCGCAAGCCAAGGCCATTAAATCGGCTGTGGATAATGATGCATTCACACTAATCCAGGGGTAAGATTGAATGGCTACGGTTCTTGTTCATCGGTCAGATACCAACTAATATTTCAACTATAGACCTCCTGGTTCAGGCAAGACCAAGACCATCGTTGCAATTGTTGGAGCACTTCTAACGCCCATTCTGGCGGAACGGAGAGTTTCCCAACCCAAAATAATCAGTGACTCGGCACAGGCGAGCAAGTCAGCTTCATCAAAGAAACTGCTAGTTTGCGCACCTAGCAATGCAGCTGTCGACGAGCTGGTGATGAGGTTTAAGGAAGGGGTGAAGACACTCAACGGTAAAACACAGCCAATCTCTGTCATTCGGTTAGGTCGAAGCGATGCGATCAACGCCAATGTACTGGACGTTACGCTAGACGAGCTTGTCAATGCTAAGTTGAATCAGAGTGGCCAAACGAAAAATGGAGAAGAGCGTGATTTACAGAGCTATTTCAACGAGCACAAGGAAACCTCTGCCAAATTTATTGAGATACGGCAGAGAATTGATCAATGCAGGGCGAGAGCAGAGCCCGTCTCTAACGAGCTCGAACGAGAATTCGATCTTTTAAAACGAAAGAAGGCTCAACTAAGCCAGGCCATTGATAATGCCAGAGATAAGAACCAAGCCGCAGCACGAAATGCTGAGTTGACTCGACGACGAATACAACAAGAAATCATTGACGGAGCCCATGTTATCTGCTCCACCCTTAGCGGCAGTGGCCATGAAATGTTCCAAAGTCTAAGTATTGAATTTGAGACAGTTATCATTGACGAAGCTGCCCAGTCTATCGAATTGAGCGCTCTAATTCCTCTCAAATATGGCTGCTCCAAGTGTGTTCTAGTTGGAGATCCCAAACAGCTGCCTCCAACAGTGTTATCAAAGGAAGCATCTCGATTCCAATATGAACAAAGTTTGTTCGTTCGAATGCAAGCAAACCATCCAAATGACGTCCATCTTCTCGACACCCAATACCGAATGCATCCAGAGATCAGCAAATTCCCAAGCCAAGCGTTCTATGATGGAAAGCTACAAGATGGACCTGCAATGGGGCCATTACGGAAAAAGCCATGGCACGGAAGTGAGCTTCTTGGGCCATATCGGTTTTTCGATGTCCAGGGCATGCACTCCAGTGCTACCAAGGGCCATTCTTTGGTTAACATTGCAGAACTTACAGTAGCAATGCGCCTCTACGAACGGCTCCTGGCCGACTATAGAAATTATGAGTTTGCGGGGAAGATTGGCATAATCACGCCTTACAAAGGCCAGCTGAGGGAGCTCAAGAGTCGTTTTGCTGCTAAATACGGCAGTTCAATATTCACCACTGTTGAGTTTAATACCACGGACGCATTCCAAGGAAGGGAGTGCGAGGTTATCATATTCTCTTGTGTCCGAGCATCCGACCGAGGAATAGGGTTTTTGTCTGATATTCGTCGAATGAACGTTGGATTGACGCGAGCTAAGTCATCGCTCTGGGTGCTTGGAAATTCTCAATCTCTTGTCCGAGGTGAATTTTGGAGGGCGTTGATCCATGATGCTCGAGAACGCCAGCTTTACACTGAAGGAGACATCTTGCGAATCTTGCAGAAACCTCAAATCAGCCTGGATATGGAATTAAATAACGTCGAAATGGTAGACGCTCCCACAGAAGTTGGCAATATCCCAACTCCTTCATCAAGGCCAGGTTCATCCATGGCCGGAAGCAGCAACTCTAGGCCGCCTTCCAGACTGTCAAATCCCCAGTCTGCTGCCGAATCATTGCCCAGTGAACTGCTCTCAGGTAGTGCAGTGGGCACACCCGTCCCATACCTTCCGCATGGCCCTTCCGGGGGAAAGTCTGGGCTAAATGACTTGGCCATGTGCGGATATTGCGGAAGCCATCAGCATATGACACATAATTGTGACAACGTCGATGCCAAGATAGCCTGTCAGGGCACTTGCCGAAGATGCGGAGATGAGACGCATTCCATTCGGGATTGCAAAGCTGAACGCTGCGTTCAATGCGGAGAAACTGGCCATCTTGCAAATGACTGCAAGTCCACAACAGTGCTACCCAAATGGGAAAAGAATAAAATCATCAAAGAAGAAGCTCATCACAAGAGCATGCAGCAAGCTAGAATAGAAAGGCAGAAACAGAAGGCCATTGCGGCTCACGACCCGAAAATTCCAGTAATACAGGCTCCTGGAAAGAAACCTTCAGCTGAGAACACAGCACCTCAACATAATAATGGCCCTGGGAAGAGGAAACGATCTGATTTGGGCAATCCCCAGGCTTCAAGTGACCCAAAGGTAATCCGACTTGACCGGAGCACTGCATCTTCGACTCCTCCGAAGGATTCCAAAGGGAGGAAACAAGACGGCAGCACCTCCGCCGCAGCACAGACACCAGCTGTAAATCTGCCAAAAGGCCCGAGAGGACGAAAAGCGGATCCTCACAGCGCTGCGCCGCCCCCAAGCGTATGCTAAGTGACCTGTCTGCAAGATTCCGATAACTAACTGACAGCTACTGACATCACTTTCTCCTCTTAGGACCTTGTAATACCATCGCGAGATAACCGCGAGAGTCGCCCAATTTCTACCGAACATCCTCCTCCAGCGGCCAATAAGGTAAGTCATTCAATGTCTACTACCCATAGTTCTACACCGCTCTATCAAATGGGGACTTAAAAGAACCCAATTTTTTTACACTCGTAAAGATAAGGGGGAACAGACAAACTAATACATCCATCGTAGGTTGGTGACTCTACCAGCGGTCCTTCCATGAGGCCAAAAGGCGACAGACGACCTCCTCCTCCTCCAATGCGCAAAAAGAAGCCTACAGACGTCTTTATTCGTCCAAAACGCAGGTAAAAAAAACAATGATAATAACAAGACAGACATGCACATAGTAGGGTGAAAGAAGAAATAACTCATGAAATCATTGAAGTATCGAGGATGAAGTTTTTTTCTCCTCGTGCAATATCTTCCTTATCATTCCCATTCTTGCATTGTATTCCTAGAACTCTTTTCCCTCCTCGCTAGCTAGTTATCCTTGCCTCCGCCGCCTTATACTGTGATATTATTGACGGCGCGCACATTCGCAGCAGTGACGCAGCTTTCTCTGTACCTGACCCGAAGACACAGTGGTTGGATTTTTCCGGGTACAGTGAAGGTTCTTCAGGTTACCCGCCCTTACATGACGAGCATAAGCCTCTTCGCTTTTTGTCGCATTGAGGCACAGAGCTTTGTCTCTTTCACATTTTCAGGCCGAAAATGGCATTGAAATTCTAGATCCTTCTACCAATCAACCGCCGTTCAGCCGTCTTGTTGATGCTCGGCGCGGGACCTGTTCCTGAACACTGCCTGAAGGGCCTGTGGCCTGTGTGGCCTGTGTATACAGCCAGCCGTGTACCGTCCGATTCGCAACCTCTTTATCTTGCGTCTCGTTCTTATTCCCTGCCTCTAGCTGTCTATGGACGAACGACTCTTGAATGTCTACTATCCAAATAGGGAAACCGCAAGAGGAGCTGTGAGCTCCCACAGTGATAGGTCGCTGCTTCATGTCCCACAGAATACGCAAGGGAAGCACTGTGCGCAAGTGTTCGGGGCGTAGGGGCGTGCGTGTGTAAGCGCTCTTCTGGACTGTAGATAGCTGACAGGCCATGCCTTCCAGCGTATAGTAGATTCTTTATCAAACACATAAGAGATAAAACAGGGAGTTGGTGTGTATGGCAATTAAACAAACGCACCCATAAAGATTGAAGCGTGATGTGGTCCTGATACTGATCCAGCTTCCAAGTCTCTGAACCCTTTATTCGTCAAACATAACCTGCGGAGAAAGGAGGTAGGCATAATGCGCAGGTACAAGTCTCTCGCTCACCCTTTCTTACCCAGGCAATGCAGTCGAGCTGCACGAAGCTTCCATCGAGCCTTTTGCTGCTGCATGACTCTTCCTTGGAGCTATTGCCTCTTGCAAGGATAGCTAGGTGCATGACCAATGACGCACTGTATGCAAGATGTGTGAATAGTGGAAGGGTGCTGGAAGGAAAATCTCTTCTCCTGCACGAGATTCTGCAGTCAACCGGCCGCAGGGGACGGACAGTGTACCCTCATCCAGTCCGTGTACACTCTTGCTCGTGCTCAACTGGCTCTCCGACCATCCAGATCGAGGCCGTCCCTGGCCTCTGCGCTCTATGGACCAGGGCCAGGTACAACCTCTGGAGACTGCTGGTGAGAAAGCAAGAATGCTTAAAAAAAAAGAAGGGGGGGGGATCCTGTGTCGCCTTTTTTTGCAGCTTTGATCATATCCGAGACGATGGTAGTATGGCATATCCTGTTCTATAGGAGGGATAGCTTGAGATATCCGCCGTGACGGGCAGTCGTTACACTCATCACGTACGGTCTGTTTGGTACGCGCCCACGGCTATACGCGTCTAGAGTGCTTCATCTTGCATATCGATCGGAGAGGCACGCGCACATTTGTGAGAAGGCAAATGCACGGAAGAGCCTGGGTATCTAGATCTGGGCGATCCGCGAGACAGGTTTCTGCCCTGTGACGTCGGTCTCTAGATCTCTTGGATAGATGATAGACGTCTGCCTGGTTTGGGAGCGCATCGACAGCCACACAATCTCCGTAGAGAAGACGTTCTTCAAAGCCGTTGGTCGGAATAGCCTCCGACCAGCCTCTTTTTGCCGCCCGTCGCCTCTTGGGATGGGCCATCTCTGGCATGGTGCAACGGAAACGGGCGTCAGAGTCGGACAGGATGCGACTCACTGTGCAACCCCAACGAGCACCCTGCATGCGCGAGAGCCAAAGCAAACCTCAGCACCTGGTACCGAGAGCAGATATAGGACAGGGACCTGGTCCGAAGCTGTTGTCGGCAGTTTGCCTGGTAACTAGTACTCCGTATAGATGCGGAAATGCAGGCTTTGCGGCTATGGAGGACTCCGTCAAACGAGTGGAACAAGTTGAATGTGCTTAATACAAGAGACATAACTTATAGGCCCCAACATGCAGCTAAATGTCACACTGTCCCAATTTAGCTACCATCCTGTGCTCTGTCGATCCTTATAACGCTCATCTTATAGATGTCGTAAGTAGTTATCCGGCCTGGTTGGCTCGTCCATCTCTACCCACACAAACCAGAGTCGGTGATGAAGATGGTGATGACGATAGCCACGAAGCCTGGAAATGTGCGATTCATATGCAAGGCGCTGATGTGAGCCTGCAGGAATTCGCGTTTCTGGGTATAGTTCTCAGGTTGTATACATGATACTCCGTAGTTCAGCGCATATGTAAAATCGTGCAGCTATGGATGCAGGTCCGGGGATGCGGTCTCTGTTCAAATTCGGGTTTCCCAGGAACTTGCTGCTTTGCTCTCTGACCAGTTTCGTCCTGGGATGTTGACTTCTCAGTCTCTGCCATAGTACTCTGTAACTAACTATCAGCCCTGAAGCTGGCCACAATGTCGTTTGTATGGAAAGCATGTTGGCTGCTGAAGCCCTTCGTATAGGGTGAAGACCCCCCCTGTATATCTTTACTGGACTGGGAGAAACTCCGCCGCAAGCGCTAACGCCCTGCTATGGAGAAAAATAACGGTTAGTCTACTCCGTAGTTAGCAGCATTATTAGACTGCTGCTATGCATACTCCATACTCCATCGGCAACGTCTGCCCGTTGAGTGTTGTTGCTGTTGGCTCGCGTCAATAGCCGGCCGCTCTCCCGCTATAACTCCCGCCTGTACAGATTCCCCCCAGTCTACAAGTAACCAATTGATAGCAACAGCAGACAACAAACGGGCCTGAAAATACGGGCGAGATGCTCGTGAGAGTCGGTCAGGCCAAGAAGGGGGTCTTCTCATCCTCCCGGTCGATCTGCGCCGGCGAGATAGACATGTAACGACGCCTGGCGCTGCGCCATTGGCTGCCCTTGGAGGATCCGATGAGCTTGACGTCAGCTTCACGGGCTGTATTTTCAGAAACATCCAAGCCACCAGGCTCAGGCCCGTCTAGTCGCCGTTTGTCTGCTATATTTCGTTGTTATTGATATCATTGCTTGTCTGTAGTTGGACGTTCGATGGCTGCCTTTCCTCCATCGCTGGACGGTGAATCAACTGAATTGGAGATAGTTATCGACAACGGCGATCTATACACTCGCTAACGCCGCGCAATAACTAATAATGGGGCCTGTCGACCTCCCCCGGCCATCATCGCCAGCTCGCTACGACGCCGAAGCTGAGGCTGTCGGCCTTCTTTCATATCATGACCAGCAGAAGCAGCAGCAGCAGCAGCAGCAGCCAAGTCACGGCCGAGGCGGACTTCTGCAAGCCATCCACGGCCGGTCACCCAGCAGCCTGAACTCGCTTCCTCTGCGGCGGGCTGAGAAGACAGGCCACCATCTGCTCGCTGCCATAGGCTGCTCTCCAACGCGGCGAGCTGGAACCAGGCTGTCGAGAACCCACCGCCTGTTACGGCTTGTCGGGTTTCTGGCCTGGCTGTTCGTGGCCGTCTCGGTGGCCGAGTCGCTGCTGTGGCCGCCATATCAAACGCCGCCAGAGCACTATGCCGGCCTGCGTGAGCGGATCCTCGGTTCCACGCAGCCTGGGCGAGGAAACCCAGAGGGCCAGAAGGTGTTCATAGCAAGTAATATCGTGAAGGAGGAGATGATTCGCGGGCCCTGGGGCCGCTCGCTGCTCGAGCTCGTCGACCTCCTGGGGGAGGATAACGTGTTTGTCAGTATCTACGAGAACGACAGCGGGCCGGGGACAGGAGACGCCCTCAGAGAGCTTGCTGCACAGCTACCATGTCTGTTCCCCCCCGTGTGCGTTCCTGTATATCTATTATTCCACCTGCCTCGTTTCCTGCTTCTAAATAACATATAACATCTAGGGGCTAAAAGGTAATTCTGGCTACAGGTAACTCATCGGTTGTTGCAGGGGAGCATCTGCCCATTGAGGGCCTCCCTACGACCACTCTGCCGTCAGGGGACGAGCGAGTAAAGCGCATAGCGTACCTGGCCAGAATCCGCAACCGGGTACTGGAACCGCTGAACTCGGCGTACCAGTCCTCTGGCGATCATGTAGCAGCGGACGGGTTCGGGTTCAGTCATGCGAACATGCAGTTTGACCGGGTCCTGTTCTTGAACGACGTCTACTTCTCGGCCATTGAGGCTGCCCAGCTCCTGTTTTCGACCAATGTAGACCAGGCCGGTCACGCTCAGTATCGGGCAGCCTGTGCCGTCGACTTTATCTCCAAGGCCATGTTCTACGACACCTTCGTGGTCAGGGATGCCGAGGGCTATGGCACCGGCCTGATGTTCTTTCCCTGGTTCGCTCCCGTCGGACAGGCCAGGAGCAGAAACCAGGTCCTCCAGGGCGCCGATGCAGTCGAGGTGCGCAGCTGCTGGGGAGGCATGGCGGCCTTCCAGGCATCGATATTCCAGCACTATTCAACGGCGGACTCGACAAGCCACATTGTCACTCGCTTCCGGCACGACTCAGAGCCCTTTTGGGAATCTTCCGAGTGCTGCTTGATCTTTGCAGATTGGGAAGATCGGTTTGGCCAGCCAGACGTTGCAAATCAGACTGGTGTTTTCTTGAACCCGTACGTTCGAGTGGCCTACTCACAGAATACTTGGAAGTGGCTGGGGTTCTTCAGACGGTTTGAACGCATCTTTGCAAACCTGCAGTTTCTTGTCAGCCGGCTGGCTTATCCGGAGCATAACCCTCGGCGAACTCACCTTCCAGGACAGAAGGTGAGAGAGTGTGTGTGGCAGAGTAACGCAGATGGTCACCCGGGGGGTTCGCTTCAAACGATCCAGCGGATAGCAAGCCCTGGAGGCTTCTGTGGCCAGAGACGAATGTTTGTCATGGTAGACGACATTGAGAAGGCAAACAGGAACGGAGCAAAGAATTGGATGAAAATACCTGTTCCCTGAATGGTCGAGTCGCATTATTGACTTGAAATATCCTTATTTATTTCTTATTTAGTCAAGTTACTACTTACATGTTTATCGCTCTGTTAACTATAAGATGAGCATAGCATAATCATATCATAATAATAGTAATTATAATATCAATTTAAATTAATCTGCACGAAGCTTGGTCATGCAGCGTATGATGTTTTCTTCTGTGCCTCGAACTCTGCTTGCAGTCCAAGCAGATATCATCGACATTCAGAATCAACAGCTCCCATCATCAACCAGGCGAGATTCAATAATCTAGAACCTTTTTTCATTTCCCTCGTCTATCTCAACTAACCAGGAAGCGGGAAATTGGACACTGATAGCCAGAGGATTGGCGCTCATCCAGATGACTGGCGCGTACCAGCGAACTGACAATCTCACCCCATCTCGACTCGTCTCGTCTATCCAGGGCCTATTGTCTGGCAAGCGACTCCGTAACTAGTCGTCAATGCTAAAATATAGCCAAAGTGCTTCCTGGAAAGAGGAGCAGTACTCTGATCTTTCTCTGCATTGCTTCTCTCTCCCTCTCTCTGTCAGCCTTTGCTTTTTTCTCTCTCTCTCTCCTGATTTTCTTTCTTTTTTTTTTTTTTTTATTTTCACAGCTTTACTTTACTACTGCCCATCTCTCCCGCCGGCACTTTCACCCCTGGCCGCACCGTTTTGAGGCGTTGCACGGGTATCTGAATATTGGTTCGTACTCTCTGGATCGTGTCGGAATGTACGACACGACGCTGCGTGTCAACAACAACACGCAAAGGGAAGAGAAGGACGAGCAGGAAAAGCAAAGAAAAGGGGGTAGTTAAAGGATAAAATAAATAAAATAAAATATGTGTGCATACGGCCATTTCAACCTGCCATGGTATCCATCCCATTGGGTAACGTAGAGTATACGTAGATCTGAGCGTTCGTCGTTGTCTTCTTCACCTCGACTCTTCACTCCCCCCCCCCCCCCCCCCCCGGGGGGGAGGGTTTTAAAAAGGCCAACCCAGGGCTGCCCCAAGAGTATTGCAGGTCCCATGGACAGCCCAGCGTCCGATCTCTCTTGGGGTCGCCCGCTGCTTCTTCTCGTCCTCCTTGCACGATCGTGTTCGACAGGAAGCGAGATGTGATCTGTCTTCCCATCCGCAGGCAAAAATGATAGAACTAGAGCAGCGTCGTCGTGGCTGACTCAGCCTTGCGACGCCCAAAGCGGCAACTTTTACTTTCCACCATCGAAAAATGCTCCAACTCAGCCAACCTTCGTCTCCAGCAGCACAACAGCGCGGCCGCGGACAGGAGACCAGCTATCTATCTATCCATCCCATCATAAAACAGGGGGATTGTCCTTATGGGGGAAGAGCACGACTGAAAACCTCGCCGCCCGGGTTCTTTGTGATATACGGTGGTGGTGCCTGGTCTCGCTTGGGGGGGTCGAAGGGTGGGGAGGCGAGCGGTGGAGGATGGATCCTCGACCTGGGGCTTGACCTCCCCGGAAAGCTGGTAGTTAGCGGACTGGCAGCCAGGCAGGCTAGCAAGAGATTCCCTCGAATGACCAGCAAGGGTTACTCCAGTGGAATGGATTCTCTTGCCGGAAGGCGTTGATAGATCCAATTCACCTGCTTGTGCCATGTAACTAACAGTCGAAATCGCAGGCTTGCTTTTTCCTCCATCCTCCGCCTTGATTTGTCGAGACCCTTCAGCTTGTACAGGGTTCATGGAGCTAGCTCTGTGAATCAGTGTGGGAAAATGGCCCTAAGGGATTCAGACTGCATCCCATAGTCTGGCTCATATTTCCTTTTTCGACTGCGTGCTCTCTTTCTCTCTCTTCTTGTCTCTAATTCCTTCAAGTCCACATTTGAAGGTTCTATTTCTTTGCTTTTGCTATCACTTCTCTTCTTCCTGGCTCTTTGTTTTTCTATTTCCTTGCTTTTTTCTGGCTCTTCTTCCCAAGTGAGAGGTTCACGTCTTCGTATAAAGATTCAACGTGAAGCTTTCGACTTTTTGGTCTCCTGTCTCCCTCGACGCCCAAAATGCAGCTTGCCGCTGTTGCTCGTCCTTTTTGATGCTGTGCTGCCCTTTTTCTTTTCACTCGGTCCCTCAAGATCACAGCTGTGGGATGTTCTCACCTCCTGTCACCTATCTACTGGCCGTTCTAGGTTGATGAACTTGCTATTAAACGACCATCCTCAGCCTGTCTTCTCCCCAGAATTTGGACGTGGCCATCTAGTATCTTGACATCTTATGTGACTCACCCTCTTGCTCATAGCTTGTTCGATTCATCTTTTGATCACTTGGGGATGTCTTCATTTGAACCTCATTAAGCTCGAGCCTCTGTGCAATGACTAGCAGATAACCGTGGTGGCTCCTTGTTTCATATCCGGTTGGGAGGTGCTCAGGTAGCGCCTCTTCCGTGACAAAGTACCTGTTATTATATATTATAATTATCATTATATCATCGCAGGTTCGGAAGACAAAAACGGCTGCATGCCTAAGAACGGGAAAATGCTGCGTCCAAGTACGCCCTCGAGATCCTCGGAGGAGAGCTTCTGCTTCTCTGCCTGGGAAACTCCGAGGCTGTCGGTAGCTGAATCTATTGGAAGGGATAACTATCCCCGACCAGCCTCGAGTCGAACCCAGACAGGAAAGAAAGCCAAAAGAAACAAGAACGCTGCTCACTATAGCCCTCGGTCTGCTGGCTCAGCACGTCGACCTCAGAGATCAGAGCACGTTACCGAGCTTATCAAATTCTTCAAGACTTGTGAACTCCCCATCTCAGACCCATACAATTTTGATCTAGACAGTCTTGAACTCAATGGGCAGCTACGACAGCTGAAGCACCGTCAAGATGACCTGGGACTACAGGAAGACTCCGCTCCTCAGAGGAAAAAATCGCCCGTCAAGCTATTTGCTCCTGACCTATGGAGCCGCACCCCAGCCCGGAAAAATAGGCAGAAAAATGACCGCTTGAACCCTTCTATCAGCATGGAAAGCATGCAGTACTCCCCTGGCACCAGAAGCCCCCGAGGTTCCCATGATAGCAACATTGATCGACCCATTGCTACTCCAAAGACAGAGGTTGACGGCGAATGTGCTTACCCGGGCATTTCAGTCTTACCATCTTCCAAGGAACCTCCATTAAACGATATTGGAGTCTCGGAACCTTTCCCATCCTTGACCACCATGGGCCAGTTGTATGATTTGTCTTCAGCAACCCTTACTGGAGATATGTATACGAATGAAAAGATGGAATGGACAGACACTTCAGTTGGCCGCGAGATCCTATCTGGTATTGATACTGACTCCGGGATGCCGATCCAACCAATGCCGGTACACCCTAATAATCCGTCAAACCACAGCGGTGACAACGTACCTCAACCTCCACCCAAACCTGCGGTGCCACATAACTGTGCCAAGGGCTCGACATATTGGCCTCAAGACAAGCCGCTTCCCGATACTCCCGAAGTTCACTGCCAGCAACAAAGACAGCAAATTCAAATTTACAAGAGAGACTCTATCCGGGTTACAAGGTCAACCACCACGAGCTCCGGGTTCGGTAAACGACACTCTATATCAACTACCTGCGAGTCAACCTTCATCGACGTCCAGTGTCTCCCCGAACGGACTTCCAGCCGGAAAGAACGAAGGGCGGGTCGAACTGACTTCAGCAGCCTTTGTTGTCGATTATCTTGCCCCATGTCGGAAGAGCACGGTTTCAATTACGCTGAGAGTCTCGAGAGTACTGGAAAGCCTGTGTCTATATTGGATCCGGCCGATGCCAACGAAAACCTAGATGCTACGACCCAGTCTAAAGTAAAATCTCGAACCTTGATCCCTGCTCCAATTGATAGCTCCAGAAAGTATTCCGTGTCCTCGGAGCCGTCACTTACCCCATCATCGAATATCTTCTCGATATCTGCCTTGTCTGGTTCTGCAAGCAGTAGTACTTTAACCTCTCCCCTTACCTGGCACAACCCTTCTCAGAAAGGAGATGACAACGTCGCCTCAAAGTCTATACCATCCACATCCACCGTCACGGTATCGCATGATACATTAGACAACCAATCTAATGTTGAAGCGTTTCACAAACTCCCAGCGACAAATGTTCCAGAAATAAAAGGAAGCGCGGATACTGCACCCAAAATCCTCCCGGACCACTTCCCTGCCGTACCTGTCAGAAAGTCTAGCAGATTAGACAATATTCACGCCTTGAGAATGAAAGATGTTGCCGCCGCTAGGGCTGCACATAAAGCTTCGAACAAAGGCCCAGCCGCCCTCGAAAACTCTGATAATATTAGGGGCAGACAAGCTAGCTCGCCGGCCATCCTGAATTACTCTTCTACAACCAAGGCAAGCTCAAGGACCAGTGAGGAATCATTACCGTCAGCCACTAGCTCCACTCGACCAACAGTCAAATCTGCCATGTCAAAGGTCACAGCTGGTTCCAACACCAAGTCTTCTACCAATGGATCTCCAATGAGAACAATCATGCCTGATGGCTCAGTATTCACTGATCGAGCTACACAAGAACGATCATTCAGACATAAGCATAACGCCTTCTCTCTACTAGCCGGAGGATCTTTACCAACTAGCCCCAGAAACTCACAGTCATTCATTCCTACCCCTGTGCCTCACAGGCCATCGCTAATGAGCCCAAAGAGTGTTGCCGGACTACGTGCTTTGGAGACTGTATCCCGTCCAGTTTCACCATCCCTACCTTCATCAGACGATGAAGGCATGGGAACCAGAGCGCATAGTGGCAGGTCAAGGCGATCTACACGATCAACCCATCGCAGAAGCCGCAAAAGCTCGACCTTAACCATCGACAATACCAAATCCCAAAAAAACACCCATGATGAACCGCTACCACTCACTCCACCTAGCACTAACGCCATTCGTCCCAACGATCCTGATTCTCTTTTATCTCCATACACTCCCACTCACTTCAAATACCTGCCAACTTCGGACTCTTCCATAGCTACTCAACCTTACCAACAAAAGTTTCTACAGGATCGTGTCTTCTACCTCGAACGCCAAAATAAGATGCTTCAATCTGCGTTGCTCTCTGCGCTTGAAGTCGGCGCCAAATGTGATGCCCAGCGAGATCAGAAGTGCAGCCCCCGCAGCTCGAATCCTATCAACTTTCGTGATGATATCATTGACATGCTCAACCTATATCGCAGCTCTTATGATGGTGGATGCGGAGTTGCTACGTCTTCTGCTTCTGCCATAAGAAGCGAAACTCGATGCTCAGCCATTCCTCCTAATATCGGAGAAACCGAGATTTCCTGCTCGTCTACCACTACTTCTAGACTGTCGGTACAAGGAAGAATTCTAGCACGCCCGTCTACTTCTCCAAGCACAGCCAAGGAGAGAGCTCATCAGCGACTTATTGAGCCGCATAACCGCATCGGAGAGGCTATTGCCTTGAGATAACTTTTACAATCTTTACCACATTTCCTAAGATACCTACTACTATCACTTTCACTACTGCTGCTATAACAGACGTTTTCCTCTTTTTGACCTGTGTCGGGACTTACTCCCACTTCTCCACCGCGATCTACATTTCCACTAGTGACACCACTGTTTCCTTTATATTCCTTGTCGGGACCCTTCAAAAACTCGCTTTATACAATTTAGATGATTGAATGATTGAATGACCTTATCTACTGAACAATATCATTTCTCGTGGCTAGTTGCCTTGCTTCTTGCTTTCTCGTTCGCTCGATAGTATTTTTCATAACATTGTTATAAGTCTTTCTGTGTTATATAATATCCTTCTAAATCGTCATATATAACCTGTAACCCAATTCCCAAAGTGCCACCAAACTCGCCCACCCAACATGGTTATACCGGGGGAAAAGGAGAGAGATCTAAGATAATACTAAAAATGCGAACATATTATGTTCTATAAAGGGAGAGGTTAAACCTGTGAACGCTGAACAACAAGCAAGATGTAGG